ACGGATGTCCATGGCCTTACTTATGATATCACTTTCTTAAAATCACAGTATTTATACCGAGGGTATATTATTTTTTAACATACTAGTAAATTGCATGTATGCAAGTTAACTGTCACTTTATAATTTTAAACATATCATAAGTAAATTTAATTAATTTTTTTTATGTATTGTTCTTAATTAACGTTTATATTTATCTTTTTACTCTGTAGCGCTTAAGGTCCCACACAAGGAAATAATTTCACTATATGTTACTATGTAGCTTTAATAAAATTAATTAATTAATTAGACTCTCAGCAGATAATTCATGAAAGAGAAAATAAAGATTAATGCTGAGACAAAAATTTGAGATCAGAAAAAATACGCCTTATGCGGCTTTTAAGAAAGAAAATTGAGTGTAAATATACACGTGGGTTTCACATGTTGACAAACAGCCTACACACCATCCAGGAAGTTGCATCATGCGCATCTAAAAAAAGAGTTCCCTATAATTCAGTGGCACAATTCTGCTAAGAATATGATATTCTAGTACATGAGTCCAAAATTAAAACTGTAGACCTAAAAAAAAAAGTTGCCGAAAATAAAAAAAGAAAAAGAAATTGTCTCTATATATATAGAACTACAATTGAATAAGTTCATTTTGATTGGCTATTTCCTTGCGTAAGACCTTTAAATGCAGTTATCCTTAAAAGAGTGGGTTACAACCCCGTAACCCCCTCCCTTCAAAACTCGCCACTATACATGTAGATACGTTCATACGAATCTCGCATGGTACTTGATTCTAACACAATGTGTTACAATACTTTTTTGTACAGTTCTACATTTTTTGCACACTCAACTTCAAATGTGCTAGCATTGCCAATCAAACTCAGGGAAAAGGTATGTAAATTAGACTGAGAAGCTTTTTTTTTTTCATAATGCAACATTCGTTTTTTTTCTATTGATATTTTTTTTACATAGAACTAGAAAGGAGAAAGTCGATACTATCGTGTATAGACTGGTGTCAATTCTTGGTATACCAAGCACCTCTTTTTTGATGTAAAAAGCTTCATATTGTTTAAAGACTTTGACACTAGCAAACGACAAAGGCATTGGTAAAGATTTGAGCCAATCACTTTTTGTGCCACTGATATCGGAGGTCAGATGTGTATTGATTTCGTTCTTTTGGGTTATTTTTTCACAAATGTAATCTCTTCACATGTATATTTTTATGAGAAGAAGTTTGAAACTTTATTCATAGAAAATAAAAGATATTTACGAGATCGATTTTTTTTCATCAATCTTCCATTTTTCTTCACGAAAATTTATTTGGGTAGGGTTCCTAAAAGTTAACTTTTCTTATAACTTCTGAAGACAAAAAGAAGACTGTAATTTATTTCACGAGTGGGACAGGATTTTTTTATATATATATTTTCACGAGTGCGAAGTCTAACGAGTGAAATAAATTTCATATTCATTACAAAACATTGAATTTTGTAATTATTACATTTTGTTTGATTTCCCTTTGCATCTGTCTTTTCATACGCTATGACCTCATAGTTGAGCGGTTGAGACGTCATAGCGATTGAGAGATTGAAAGACGTTGTAAACATGGATTTCTTTTATAACATATTTGGAGAAACTTTGGCAGTTTTAGTCTCTGTCAGGATGGTTCATTTACTCTCTCTATCTTATAATAGGACAGGGAGTTTTTTTTTTTAAAAAAATACTTTTCGTGAAGGGAAGGAAAATCGAGAGTTTTGCCGCACTTCTGGTATTCTCTCACACTGTGAGAATACAATTTTGATATCCTTTCACACTATGACAGAATATCACTTTTATTCAATAAATAAATTACAGTATTTCACTGTTGAAAATGTAATAAAACAAATCAAAGAATGTCCATATTCTTATCATAAGCTGTGTGATTTACATGTAACCCTTATGAATTTGCCTAACAAGAATTTTCCTACCAAAACCATGCAGTTTGTTTGTTTGGTTTTTTTAATCAGAAATGACACAGGGTCATTATTCTACAGGGTCATTTTTCTACAGTCCACATGGATAGCTAACAAATAAACTATATGACATATTCTTGAGAAATACTGTACACCGTTTTACCTTGAGTACATGATCAAGTGACAGTTGTAATTAATATTTTTTATTATTTTTTCTTATGTTTTTTTAAAACCTGATTAATTATATCATAAAGGTCCTTACTTGAAATGAAAGATGAATTATTTACATGCTCATCTAGTTTGTCAGCGAACAAGTATAATTCATTCCCATGCAGAACGAAAAGAAACGTATTTCCCTTCTCTTTCCCTCCTTCGAGTCTAAATGTGATTTTCAAGTTCAAGCCTCTAATCATTTTTAAATTGCTTATGTGTTGTTGTTTTTTTAACTGAAGGTACCACTACGACAAGTTTGGGAAGGATGAGAAAAAACTCTGAGAATGGCAAATATTTCTATATTTAAGTTAAGTCCCGGGCTATTTCACCATACGGAGGAATGGTTTGTATTTTGCTAAATTGCATATCGGTCATATTGTTTCAATATAGCGAATTTCTGTGCAATATATTGTACAATGTATAAGGAAAAGAGATAAATTGTCACCAATTTAATTAGAATAATTTCTTCCTTTTTCGTTTCTATCTCTTACTGTGTCCTGGATCGAAATATAATTCTTTTGTTTACAAAATGACGAAAAGTTGGTTCCTTTTGAGTTGACAAATCTGAAGCGGAGCTTCATTACATTGATGTAGAGAAATGTGAAGGAGCTGGGGTCATTTTCTGGCAGATTTCTTCATCTTACGCGAATGAGTTGAAGTTGTACCTGTAGTTTCTAAGAATATAACACTAGTTTAAAAATGATCTTGATGCTTTCTTTTGGACTTGACAATCATGTTTAGGCCAGAATTTTTTTTTAAAGAGTGAGTCTTCAAGTGGGGAAAATACTGGGATTTTTACGGCCCGTGAAAAAAAACACTTGATATGAAAAAAAAAATAGAGGGCTTGAATGAAGAGTTGTTCCTCTTTCTATAATGAGAAGAATTAAGATTATCAGAAGCACCCAACGTCAGAAATGACCGTGAAAGCCACCATTTATATTACAATTCCAAGTCACAGTCTGAGATTTCGGGCTTCCATCGAGATATGTACATTGCCATACGAACACTAACAGGGAAATCATTTTCAAAATCTTGTCTATAACTTGTTTATTTATGCATTTTTTCCTGTAATTTTGAGTCAATTTTGTTCAGCTCGTACATGTAGCCTGTTGCTTTTTAACAAGATGAGTTTTTTTCTTTCTTTTTCAAATCTTTCTCTCAAGAACAGAAATGAATAAGAAATTAAAATTAAAATTTGCAAATTAAACTCATCGTGTAGACTAAGTTGAGTCTTTCAGAAGCGTTACAATCTGAGTTCAATCTTTTACGAAGCAATTTTTAAAATGTAAGGTTTTTGAAGTCTTGAAATCTGAAACAGATTTTTTTTTTTTTTTTTTTTGAAAATCTTAATATGGAAAAAATGTAGTATACATCCTGCTGGGAATGCTTTGCTACGATAACGAATATGTAAGATAAATTAAGAAAGACGCCACAGCAAAGTTATGGGGATGGTGCAAACTTACTGAGTACGTATACCGTATGAAGATTTGTATAATATAATATTTACATTCCACATGTATTGTGCTTATAAAGTTTGAGGAAAGCTACGGCATTCAAAACACCATAACACGGACAGGTGATCAAAAGTGTTAAAGTATTCGTTTTATTTTGACGTCAAAAACGTTGAACGCCGTGGAAGTGCAACGTCATAAGCGAAAATCAAAATTCACGCTCACATTGAACAGAAGCTGTTGAAATGGCTCTTCCATTAATTGTAACTTAATTACCCGAAGGATAATGCGGGGATTTTGAATTATATAACACATTTGCAGTCAAAGCAAGGAGTTAAAAATGTAAATATAAGCATTAAATTATTTTTTTTAAAGATATATTCTCATAACTGCAACGGTGTGTGCAAACATATATATATATATATAACGCGCGTTATAATTTATCAATTTGTTTGCACACACCGTTGCAGTTATGAGACTATATCTTAAAAAAAAATAATGATTCAATGCTTAAATATGATACTCGAGTAAGAACTAGACTAAAATGAAAATACTTTATTTCTTTAAATTTACATTTCAAAATATCCCCCCTTAAGATTAATAAGGAAAATGTTCATTTTCTTTTGAGTATGAATAAATCGTAATTGACGTCAAAACTATAGTGCAAACTGTTTTGTATCTGAAATGATAGATGAATACATAAATTTGTGGCAAGTCATTAGATAAATAATGTAAATATAAAATATGAATTTATTTTTTGAAAATTTATAAGGTTCATGAAATACATCGCTTCACGACTGCATGCCGGCTTGAAACGTCGTAGTTCATGTCCTCTTGAATTTTCAAAAATTAAATTCATTTTTAAATGGTATTATTCCTTGACTATGTGAGAAACTAGCATCTGATTCTTTCCAACAAAACAGGGTCCCCCTGTTAATACCTGAACATGCATATTGTAGGCAATTTTGTACAACCCGCTATGTAGAGCTTCACTCCTTTATCATCCTAGCGGTTATATATTATAGCGTCTTTTGTGCTGCTGCTTGTCCAAGAAATACGCTAATATAGGATTTAAAGAAAGAAATATTGAAGCTTTGCTCTAAATGTGCTAATTTATTACTACGCCATTATGTTGATGTGTAACATTGCGCTAAATTTTGGGTGGGCTGATAGTCCTTGAAACTAGGCGATATGGATCCTGAACATATTCCGTCATCTTGAGGTGCTCCCTGGTGATTCACTTAGTTAAGTATACAGACGATTGACAGCCATAGTGATAATAATTTATCAAAGATATTACATGCACGTATATTTAAGAAAAATAACTATTAAGTTCATAACCTTTTTTTCAGCAATAACAACAAAATTCATTCATTTTTTTCTTCTTATTTTGTTTAATCATGTTAAATATGGCAAGAATTGTATTACAAATTTTCTTCAAAGATCAAACACACATCGTAAAACTAAATTGAATTGCAGTAATCAGTGAGTTATCATTTCCGTTTGGCCCCATTTAATCTATTGAATTATACATCTACTTCATTTTACAATTTAAATTTCATGAGGTTTTGATATGCATATTGAATTTTTTACACATAATTCAAAATATCTAACTAGATAATCACAAAAAATACGATAAAATTATAACATCAGAAATATTCTGATTGTCGACTAGCTTTCATAAGGTATGGCAAACCGATTCACGCCCAACTATAGCACCTTTATGTTCACTCACTCGCGTTTACAAACAAACTTGTGTTGAATGTGATCTATACCCTGATAATTACATGTACACTAAGTCACGTGACAGGAAACAGGGAAGGCAAGATCAGTTTAGCTCTCTTTTCGATAAGGCTCAAGTATTGTTTCTGAGTATGATCACCGGGAATGGTACCTGGTGAATGTTTTATTTTTTTAATCGACTGTTGAACATTATGTACACTATTTAACTATGCTATGTAAAGTTTACAGGGATGGATGTTCAATGAAATTTATTTCACATGAACACAGTATGTTTATTGTGAGGTAGTTGTAACGTTTTTCATATTTGATTGACTTTTTCTTGTGGGGTATAAATTTGGTTATTTGCTAATGATTATTAAAATTCATATCTATATAACAAATCCCTCAAATAACAAGCAGTTTCAAATACATGTTGTAGCAGACATGCATTTCAATACAAGTATATACATTTCAAATCTATAGAAAATATGAGACAATCAACAATTTCTAGGCATAATGTATTCCCTAGAACCAACATATGAAAATAATATAATAACGTATAAACCTTCATTTTTTATATTATAATAACTTATAAAAATCTATAGTCAAATGTTGTATAGATTGTATGAATACGTTGTAATGTCTGCGAGATTCGGCTCACTTCCGGTTAATTGGCCCCTACAGTCACAGCACTTAGTGACCCGGATTCAGAATGAAGAGGTCCCCCGTGTCCATGGAGACTATCACTTTCAGTTTTGACCAGAACAGCTTTAGGTGGTGACGGTGATGAATAATGCGGGACGGAAGCTAAGTTCACCGGGCTCCCTAACCCGCTCTCATGATCAACTCCGACGGAAGTGAGGGTTGTCATTGAAGAAGTGTGGCCCATCACATTGGAACTGTTAATGGAACTTGCTAAGGCGTTGTTCTGGTTAGAGGAATTGTTGTTCAAGGTGTTGGGCGAGACGGCTGGTTTTACATCCGCTAATGAAGAGAGAAAACATGTTAGGAAAGCATGGTCACTTAAAACTGTAAACACGATAGCAACACGAGAAACGTGTAAGTGGCTAATCGTAAAGGCGATCTTCAAATCGCTGGTGATGACTTATTAAATAAATATGAAGTTCGGGTGATAAACCAGTGATAAGCATTACAGGAATTCTTGAGTCTGTGGTCAGACTTTCAGCGCCCACTTAGCGAGGAATAGTGTTGACGCAGCTGAGTGCATGTCGTTGGCAAATTAGCAAATAATATTTCATATGTTTGTGAAACTTGAAACTTCAAAAATATTTAACCACATTTGCTCCCAAACCCTTCGAACAGACATATATTTAGATGGGCCAGAATACACATTCAGCATAGAGTTAACAAGCCAATTTATACAATTTCAACTTGTATCGTAACCGGAAACAGACATCGTCAAAGAGAATTAAATCTAATTTTACCAATGCTGTAGCTGAACGAGACCAAAGTTTTGTTTTGAGAAGGTAAATGTACCAAAGTTAATAAATTCAAACTAAAAAATTAACCCCATCTGCTCGATTTCACGTTAATGTAAAAGAGGAATATTAGATCTCTTGCAGTTTTTTGCTGGTTGACTGTTTGTGCACAATAAAGATTCTGAAGCTGTAACAAGTAACGACCTGTAGCCGAGTAAATTAATACTTTTCTTATGGAATCAGAGATTTTTTTTATATCCACTCTATGTCATATCTTCCAAAAGGGGTTTATTTAGTTTTAAACTCTAAAATATCAGACCCATACGAAGTCATACTATTATTATCCACTTATCATTTTTATTAGAAATTTCATATCATGGTCATTTCTATTCTTGTATTGACATACTCAAAACAGGCAAAAGTAAAACGTACTTATTTCTCTCACATGAATTTTTGGGCAGTTAAACATTATATTCACAAGTAAATAATACACAATTTCAAGATTCTAGATCAAGATAGTGAGATGTAGTTACCATTTGATTCCTGTTTACTAGAATTTTTATTCTTGGCAAGATTCTTGGGTTTTCTCTTCCGTGTCTGAATCCCATCTTTCTTCATGGCAAGAGGTCTGTTTACCTGCAAGTTACGATCATTTTATAGTTTCGCACGAAATAGTCCCTCCAATTTGAACAAAATACCGTCTAACTAATTCATTATTTCAGTTTTTACTATTTTCCTGAAGTTTCTCCATCGCCATTAACTTTGACATTTTTCGCCCAACAAAATGGTGAAGTATGGGTTTACAGCCATTTTATTGTTAACTAGACTCACCCCATGTAATTTGTAGTACAGTCCGCATGCGTTACAGACTGGTTCACCTTCGTTGTTGCGACGCCATAATGTAGTCGTTGTCGTGCTGCAGTTGGCGCAAGACAGACCAACCCTTCTGGAGGCTGACTGCAAAAATAAAAAGATCATTTTTATACGGAAAAGTCGTCATATTTCTGAGCATATTATAACAGTTACAAGAACTATTTGGTGTCCGAGACGTTGCTAAACAAACGTTTTCTTTCCTTTTTTAAAATTCCTGTCTCATGCCTTATCAATCTTTTCCCAAGAAGCAGCTGGGTCTGTTGTTCTAAAGAGAATCGATTAAGTAGCCTTTACAAAGAATTGCTTTTAAGGGGAGAGTTTTCAAATTTATTTGAACCAACATACGAAGCGTTTAAGGTTAGGCTAAATATTGATGACAGATGTGGCCAAAAGAATGAGGTTTAACGAAAAGTCCCCTTTGCAACAGAAGCATGGAATAATGAAAGAAACGAGTTTTCCAAAGAACAGTTATTATTATTATTAATTTTATTTATTGATTCGTTTATCTATTTTATTTTGCTTTGTTTAATTTTGTGTTCGTATGTTTAAACTATGATATATTTTTTAAATATCTTTCCAGTAATAATTTAATTTGTTTTTCTAGTGCTGAATTTCTATACTTTTACTTATATTTCTGACAAAATCAATAATTTAAAAGAAAAAGTATATAATTCTAATTTTGATCTTATTCTCAGAGAAAAGCACTGTACATGTATAATATCCAGCATCTGAAGCAAGATAACAGGATTTTCATCATATATTTAGATTTTGGTGATAAAAGAAACCAAGATGTGAACTTGTTCCTTTCAAGAACAGTTAAAAACATGTCGATTCTAGAGTTTTTACTGTGCTTCGTTACATCGAAGGTAATTTGTAGAAGTTTAAGAACTAATTACATGAGTGTTTTTATAACCCAGTAGCTCATTTGTCAGATGGAAAAGAACACCGTCTTTGTTCACAGAGCACGATGTGTATACTTCCCTTCTACCAAAGAACACACTTGTTATGTAACTACTAGCATTTGTTGGATAAATACAAGAAGAAATGTTTATTATAAGAAAAGCCATTTACAAACACGTTTGCATTTTCTGTTCCAGATAAAGTGGTTAACCCAGAGTCGATATGACAGAATCTCGTCAGCCATCGCTGGGAAAAAGACGGAATCCATCAGTGAATTTTATATTGATGCCATTACTTTTAATCACTTTAGAAAGAGACAGCTTCCAAACTTTCATTTTCACCACACACAGCGATGACTGTTCAAGAGTTTTTTTTTTTTCATCGTAAAATGAAAACATCAATACTTTCAATGTCCGAAAAAAACATCGGTGAGAAGTAAGTACAGATTTGAAAAGTTTCAGGTGTCATTTCAAATGTTCTTTTGCAGAAATTATTTTTGAGGTGCAAGTAAGGTGACTGTAAACCTACTCTTGATTTCCCCAGTCCTTTACCACCAGTGGTCCAAGGCCCGAACGCCTGAAGAGTAGGATCAGCTGTTTGATATGGGGGCGTGGCAGGATATGTCTCGCCGAACTCTCCCTACAACACATTGATGGCAGTGCTTAGTTTACGTGCTTGGGGTTGCCTAATTTGTTATTATTGTTAATTAACAATCAATAAAGAAATATAAACATCTAAAACAAAACAAGGAACACAAAGAAAAAAACGCCAAGCAAAATTTCGAAAATGGTGCCGCCCCCGGAAATACCACCCGAGCATTCAGACTAACGCGGTCCGGAAGTCAACAGTTGGTTAGTATTCTAGTAATTTAGTGTGTCAGAAAAAAAATCAAAAATGCAAACGGTTTGTAAAATAAAAAATAAAAGAAGCAAAAATATACTGCAGCTACACGAAAAAGGATGTAGAGAGTGTTTTCCGTTATAAGAGAGGCGAGGAAAAATGGCAGGCATTGAAAATAGCGCGCTTCAACCTACAACGGAATCCATTCTCTACATTCGATATGAATACAGTAGATACAGTTACGAATATTTAAACACTAACCAATCGCCTTTGTGGTTTTATAAGGGGGCGGTTTATCCCATTCATCTTATGATATAATCCACAGGCATTACACAAATAATGACCGGTCCCGTCCCGGCGCCATAAAGGGGTGGATATTGCTCCGCAGTTCACGCATTCCCGACCCTCCAAATCCGCGAAATAGTCCTGTCCATCTAAACAAAGAAAAGAGCTATCTTAATATAGAATGCAGAAGGTATACTTACATAATGTATAGGGCTATATTCCGGATACATCATGCCTGGTATTCCCTTGGTGTGATCTGTGATGCAAAAGAAAAACACGTCATAACACTAATCAAGATTTGACATTTGCTAAGGTGACACATATAATGGAAAAGTCTCAACAACTTTCCTTTATTTTAGATTCGAAAATAAGAGTCTTGTGAATTCCTAATGTTTACTTATCCCATTTTGTTTCTTTTAGATCTATCTTTTGGGATAAAATCTTTTCTTATTATTAATGTTTTAGGGAATATCTAAAGATATCCTGTTAGAAATTTTCCCCATATTTTAATTGAGAAATTTCAAGAGAGCTAAAAGTGCCCCCAAAATGTAAATGTCCAACATAAAAAAGCTTATTAGATTGAGACTTGAAACATCATGCCCTTCGAACCCCTGCCATCAAAGTCTCGTTTCTCTGGTTACCAGTTAACGCAAGGAATTTACGGTCAAGACAAGAGGCATTAAATTACATATTTTATAAGATGATTACAACTCTATTAAACATTTCTTTAACCCTTTACTCTAACGTTAACCGAGGCACATTAGTCTTAGGAAATCTGTCAAGTGATTGGGTCGTGGTCGTTCTACGTCACGACTAGCTCTGTGAACGGCGCCGGGGTAAAAACATACCTGATAACGAACTTATTAAATTGTAAAAATATCAGTGTAAGACACTATATCAAGACAAAATAGGCAGAAACTACATGTTTATTAAAATTCATAGTCACTGTTGAATTAATTTGTTTTACGATGGCGCTCTGTCCTAGTTTCGACTGGCTTTGCAACGAAAAAAAAAAGAAAAAGAAAAAGCAACAGTGCATCAAACACATTAAGAGACCTAATAAACATTTTGCATCTCCAATATTAAAAAAAAATTCAGGTCGCTTAGGTCATCTTTAAAAAATTGTTTGCCCTCTCTCGACCGACTAAAGACTTTTTATACACCTCTAGAAAACGATTTTTGGGGGTGAGGGGGGGTGGGGGTGGGGGGGGGTAAACATTCCGATTTTTTTTCCATCTAGTCAACAACAATTTTTTTTTTTAATTTTACAATCGCAAATACTTGATCATTATAAATAATCTATAATCAAATCCATTTAAAAAAAAATCCCTTACTACATACCCATTTTTTCATCCTGAGTCGGGAAAGGGTCTTATAATGTTTTTTTTTTTTTTTTTTCAAACAGGCAATGTTCTTGCCTTTTTTAGAATTTGTTAAATCTAAGCTGACATCTGTGACATCTGGATAGATTTTAAAAGGTATGCAATGAATTTCCCTAAGAAATTTACTGGAGAAATAACTTTAAATTTTTTGCTGAAGATAAAATTTTCATAATGAATATCATATTCTATACTTATTATTTTTAAAAAAAAATACTTCTTTTGCAGCAAAAAGATTAATTTAACGATTTTATCTTTTGTAATGTGTGTAAATTCACATCTGATAATTTTTGTAAATTTTGGTATTAGTGAGATAAAATTGATTAAGATTCAAAAGTCAATTTTGAATTTTCATTAGATTTCATTCAATACTTAGGAGTGGAGAAATTACCATACTCTTTAAAACAACAGGAAATTCTTCACAAATTGGTCGACAAAATAGATAAAATCGTAGGGTTACGAGCAGGGATGGAAAATTTCAGGGCATATATCATCAAAATCTTTTTCGCAATCGTCAGTTACAGATAACGAAGCAGAGGATACACAGCGAAAAAGTAAATCGGAATCCCTTTCTTATCTCGGAAACATTTTTATATCAACGAGATTTTACGATACTTCAAACCCCAGTGAATACATGTCACTTGGTGCTCACTTGACAACACGCGCAAGCACGCGCGAGATTATCACGAAACTCTGGACGACACGCTGATTTAAATATAAACATTTAATACATATTCTCAATGTGAAATATAGCATCCGTGCCCTTAGCTTTATCTCATTTTTTTTATTTTCATTTTTTTTTCTAAACTAAGATGGGAACTGATAAAATGGATAATTTAGAGCTATCTGATTGTAAGTGATAAGACTTTAAGTAAACGAATTTCAGTATTTTATTCTTAATGAAGCGACAGATAAGATCTAGTGAATCAATACGAGTCGGCTGCTGGTTTGGTTGATAGTTCTAGAGGGGAACTCCGACATCAAACAGACAGGATCAGGTAACGGACTCACATTCTTTAAAATGTTGGAATCAGAAAAAATGGTCATAACTCGTCGTGCCGACTATCCTAATCTTAAGATCTTGTGATGTCATCAATGTATCATATGATATATAGATACCATCTCGGTTCATTCATGAATATTATTCATTCGCCTGCCATGATCCATCATCGTCGCACTTGGGACAAACGGTATCAAAGTCATTTTTTTCACAACCCTTCTATCAATGTTTAGATTTTTAAATACCGATTAAAGCCGATTTGTTTTTGCTACTTGATGTTTTTTGTTCGGGAGTCTCGAGCATTTTATCAATGAAATTACAGAAGAACTGTACGGTGTCTCGGAGAAAGAAAGATGTAACGCGGCCTTCTGTCCACGGTCGTGAAAAGTTAATTCTGTTGAATCCTTTAGGTGATCCTTTGCTTTTAACAGAGATAACCTTCTTGTACAGGATTATTCTAAGTCGAAATCAAATTGATAAACTTGAATGTCAAATTGGCAGATTTAAAAGATAAAGGCAGAAGCAACAGATCATCTCTAAAGCTGGCGTTGCTGCTTTTCCGCTGTACGCGAGGGGGTCGGGACCCTCTAAAGATTGCTTAATGCCTCGTTAACCATTACATTGCGTCATTAAAAGATTCTAGATATTATCTAAGAATTGTTGTTTGTAGTCATTGTTTTAAACATATCAAGTACATCCCCAGTGACTTTTATTCTGTACATTTTAGGACGCTTCCGTTTGTCTCTGTGGATCGTCTTTGGACACATGCACAATAGATTCTCCTGTTGTGTAAGTTAAAAGAACAGAACAGCCAGTCATTAACATTCCGTCACGATTTGGAACCAAAAACCACACTTCCAACAGACGCAAACACACAAACCAAATATTGCTGAATTGAAGCATTTAATAAACCGTCCAGCGGAAATGAGGCCTCATATTAACCATGTAATTTAACTAAAAAATTAAAAAAAAAAAAAAAAAAAGATTGAAATAAAAAAACTGTTAATACCATTATCATTTAGGTACTGTACATAGAAGAAATAGGGTATTCTCTATTACACAGGAGTCTTCGCTTTTCAGAATTTTGTTCATTAAATATTTTTGTCTTCAAATTCACAAAAAAAGTGATGCTACATCGCTCAAATAAAAAAAATTCGATGTTCCCCCTCATCAAACGTGAACTATATAAAAATTGGACCTGATTTCCTTATCTATTTTGATGTAAAATGCTAAGTTTCATCAGATAAGCCTCGCGCTCTAGGAAAGCCCCGCACCTTGCAAAGGTAAATGTCAGCTCTGGGACAGACTCCCATAAAACTCATCCTTCTGGTCCTCCAATAGCAGAGAGCTCAGCGGATCTCTATATTTTATTTATTTTTTTCGAAATGAATTTCTTATCTCTTTTGCATCATTTTTCTTCTTATCAGATTGGTCGGTCGTCTTTGGATATTTCTCAAAAGAGAAATGAGGTACTTTACTTTTCGTTCTGTGGTCGCGGTGTTGCATGCAGTATTTATTTTTATTTACATAGGTTTACGCTACAAAAATTATATAGGCTATAAAAATAATAAATAAATGGATTTTGAATATCAGGATTTCTGTGTCTATGGAATCCGACTACATAACAATATGATTTATGAAATAACAAGAATTCAATAAAGTTGCTCTACCAAACTGAGGTTCATTTGGCTTCATTTTCTGTTGGTAAAGTTCATTCTTTTGCAAATAATTTCAATTATAAAACTACATATATCTGGATTTTATCTGATTAGAAAATTGAATGTGTTTACAGAATTTTGCTTGTAAATATTTTTATCTGATTATTTGCTATTTGATGTTATTGTAACTTTTCAAACAATCGTATCAGTTTTGACAAATAAACTTAGTCTTATCAATTGCCAAAACGCAATGAACGGGTCATCGGGGAGTGAATTTCACGTACAATTTGTAACCGCTTCCTATGTTTGGTTATACCCCTATAAATAACATTTTAGGATAAAATTAATTGGCAAAATATATTCCTACCGTTAGATACATGACGGGCTTCGCGGCAACCTTAGATATTTGTGCTTCAATTTAAGCGATGGTGTAATACTTTAAACCCGAGGAGAATGCTTAAAAATCAATTTATTGAGTTAAACTTGTGTGCATGGCAGGTCTTATCTGACCTCTGGGGTGATTTTTGAATCTCGTGTGTTCTCTCGAGATTTCAATGTTACCTTTGTCTTGATAAAATATACCTACTCCATACCTCCGAATTATCAGATAATCGGTTTATTTGTTAATCTTTTTACTCCACAATATTAGATAAAATGGTTTCCCGGGATCACTCTTTGCAGCCCCGACACTTCAGTAAGATTAAGTGTGGCGATTTTGTCACAAAGAGAGGTAACCTGACAAATTGGTAATAAATGATTTACTGCCATGTAATCATGAGCAAATTATGGAAAAGAACAAGTTTGTACGTCCCTCATATCACATGTTAGTAAAAAACAAAACAATGATTTTATGATAAAGAGATCAACTTTACGAAATTGCGATATTTATTGCGCAAAATATTTATTAAGAAAAATGTATTGCACAATTGTATACTTCACACTGATAATTGACAAGGACTGTCTATGATTGGAGAGAGAGAGAGAGAGAGAGGGAGAGAGAGAGTACAAACAATTAATAAGATTTATTATTAATCTTCAAAATACTTAAATTATTTTATAACTCTAAAGGGCGTCAATTTAAGCGGACCAAATCAAACAGAACCTTTGGTTGTCTGTGGCCACTTATCTGTGTTTGATCTAGAAGATAACACTAGAGGTTTCTTGACATTTTCCCTTAGCTGGGTAGAGAAGGGCTATTTTGTCCCAGGACCGGGTTCGGATTCGTTCAGGTTATCTTTCTCATCATATTTAGGTTACTTCGAGTCATCGTGTCGGTTTCAAGTGCTAATAGTCATGATGGGGCCGTACAATATGGCCAAAAGCCTCAAGCCTTAAGATGAGAATCACGATCTTGTATTCCAAGTCAAACATATACTAGGAAATATAATACCCACCTCTTCTACTTGCCAAGTTCTCTGTTTTATTTTTATTTGTACGAATTATAGAACTATGCGCATTCCCGTGATTTGTGCAGATGGCATGCATCGGGGCCCAATTTTACCAACATCTCCCTTCTGACACAAAACAAGTGTCACTTGTACAAAAATTTGACGAAAACCAGCGTACCCAAACATTTATACTCAGCAACGCAACTAACAACCCAATCAAAGCTCACGTTACCAAAATAATAAATGCAGAAACTCGTCCATAACGAGATTCGGGATTCCGAGAATGGGTGTCTGCTTCCACACGGGTCAATTGTTACTAGATTCGCGTGAAATGTTCAAAATTTTACGCTACATGAGGAAACATTGGGTTGGAATCTGCAGTGAAAACAAAACTTGTTGGGTTTGTCTAGTAATTTCTTGTACCCTATGCTTGGTCAGTTCTGATATATGGGGGAACATGGCTTTATTCTTCAGACATTGACACCATGCATCGCAGCTGTTGGTCGTTAGTACAAAATGCCCAGTTCCTTTAATACAATTGGACAACATGCTGTCTCTCCCCGCAATTAACTCTCCATGTCTCGTTAATAAAATAACTATCATTTTGCATAGGAGTTTTCATTTTACATTCAGATAGTTGTTTTTTTTTTTCCAGTAATTCATGAAGTTGTGATAATCAAAACACGAAAATAAGAATTTTGCTATACTTTTTCTTGCTTTATTTACAAAATCACAAAGAATTCGAAGAAACTCAAGATAATAAATCTCGCAAAATTGATTTCATTTCATTAATTATTTTCATTCATAGCGTATTTTTTAAAAATCAGAAATCAAGTAGTTTTCGTTTGTCGGATATTTTACTCGCATAAAAGAGATATCGCCTCTTGACATTATTAAGGGAGTTAAGAGTGGGTTGTAAATCCTAGTTATACCGCTGTACAACCTTGTGAACAACTTCTAAGTCATGTTTTCCTATACCGAAGAGTACAACCAACAATATAGAGCAATAAACAGCTTTCTTCAGAAATAGAGTTTCGGGGTGTGTTCAGTATAATGTTAAATTATATATATATATATATATATATATATATATATATATATATATATATATATATATATATATATATATATATATATATATATATATATATATATATATATATATATATATATATATATATATATATATATATATACCCCATTGTTAACGCTCAAATTCCATTGTGAAGTTTTTTTTAAATATATTTAAGCATTTGTTTCAAATTAAAGAAAATCTCTACAATTGAACAAAGGAAATAAAATCTCTTGGATAAATTGCAATGTAAAACACAAAGAACAAAATTTATCAAAGAACGAACGAATTTAGACTAGAATAAATCGATTTCCAAATTGGATCGAACTTTCCTTTCACAATAGAAGACAGAAGTCAAACATTTCTGAGTGACAAAGGTTACGAATGGTATGTAAAAGAAAGGTAATTTTTCAACTGTTCCATAATAGATCCAACAGTTGGAAATATAGCTTATTGACTGCTGTGTGTAAGGGATCTGCGTCACTAGTCTTTAAATCACGGAAAAGCCCGCCTGGAAGATAGCTTGATGAATGAACAAATGATAAAGACCAACCAACCCGGGACTAGTGTTTGCTTAAAGACCGACCAGCAAATCATGGGGTGTACGCTCTTTTGAAAGCTCGACTGGAAAAGCAGTCCAAACGACACACGAGGCGTTCTATTCCTAGCAACCCTTTGTTATTACGAGTTTTCATGTTTGCCTGTTTTGTTCTAAGTCGACCAAATACTCCCTAAGTAATATTGACAAATTGTCATAAATTTCCTCCGTCCAATAAAGTTTTGAGGCAGGTATAGCGATACCGGAATGTAACAACGTTGACCACAAGTTCTTGTAAACAATGCTTTCCCCCCAAAAGAAGCTTTAAAATCGTAATATTCCCATCATAATAAATCCCTCCAGTCAAATTTCTCATTAGTTCTTGAAATTACAGAAACAAATATTTCTTATGATTCTAAACTGCTTAACTGAGTAAACAGTGAAAATGCTGAAATAGGTAGTTTTGGGTTTGTCTTGTGAAATAAATTTTCCGAAAAGTGTGAAAGACTGTCAAATAAAGAAATAATGATATTTCTGTGAGCGGCTCTCTAGCTTGCTGGATCTGCAGACTCAATAATTTATGTGTGTTCTATATTGTAAATACGTGTTTCATTTGGCGTTTAATTTCAATTTTAAGATTTGCAGTGTTTATTTTAAATTTTATTTCAAATCCAATAAGACATATCTCCCTGACACTAGAATTTACGACACAATTATATCCTTGTCTTGTTTGGTTTCTCTTCTAATTAAGACGTTCTAGGTCTTTTTTCTATTGAAAGTGTCAATACCTCTAAATGACGCGGCAGAGTTTCATTCCCAATCCCTGGCTAAATATTTCTAAACCTACCCCCCTAACCCGTTTCTCACCGCGTCCTTTATGACAGTTCTATTTTGGTAACGTAGGATTTTGCGGTGGAATCCCTGCGTTGGCAAAATATTAAAGCATCATTTTATTTTGATGGACTTAATGTTCTCCTTAACAAAAACACCTTGTTACGTCCACTGGACAAAGAATTCTACTTTCCTCTGTTTCATGCTCTTGAGGAGATTCCTAGATTTCCACGATTATAGAGCAGATTTTTCCAATATTTCATGCGCATGTTTGTTCTTAGAATTAATCAGTATTTGTTATTCAATGTTTCGTACATTAATTCAAAATTGAACGTGCAAAAATATATTTGGGAGTATGGCTTATATTGTTGAGGAATCATCTCTCGTATTTGTTTAGCATTTAGTCTAGCAATTTTGTCGTGTAATAGTTTCATTCATAGAAATTTTTAAAGGTATTTAATACGTGAAGCTTTCCGACAACCAAATTGTATTAATTCTTAATTGCACAAGTTATATTGTCCTTCCGTTTTATACAATAGTTTCGTGGAATAACTTATCTGTGAAGATATTTAAATTTTTATATTGAAAGTTTGAAACATGCCTTAATATTATTTTCGTTTTTGGTAAGGCATAAAAAATACTCATACTGCATTTCACTTAAGTGTACAAATATGAAATCCAGATTTTCTGTCCTCTTTTTGTAATTTGTATCTACATTCATAATCTTTGCTTATATTTTTTTTTCAAAATTTTTTTTTTTAATTTCTTTAAAAACAAACAAACAAACAAAATTCACTCCGAATTTCATTTGTCTCTTTTATTTATATTTATTTGTTAGTTTATTATTAGCATTCATAATACATTTCTTTTTAAAATTTTCTTATTCTTATTATTTTTTCCTTAAACCCCATTTATTATGATTCACTCATAATTATTCACACTTTTTTTTTTTTAAAAAATTCTCCTCTTTTTTTATTCTATTTTAAACATATTTTTATCTATTCCTTTATTTTTGCCCGATACATTTTTTTTTGGTAGGATCTCTTTGTTCATTTTGTCCATGAGGGTGTTATAATGGGCGTTATTCCCTCAAAAATAATCTTTCCAGGAACATCAAACTACAACTTTAATCACAATCACCATCATTTACTTTCTTTTTTATCAAGCCTATTGCTGTGATAAAATCTATCATTTTATAACCTTTGGTCTACTCGCATGCTTGCAGAGTAAACAAAAATTAAAATTAATAATGAATTTTTTTTTAAAATATCTGCATAAATATGAATATAGTTGATTTAGATATATTCCAAAACTCTGAATCATTAAAAAAAAATTAGAATTACAACAATATATTCCCTGTGTTTTCACAACTATAATTGATAATACTCATAAATTAACTCTATACACACGCTTTGATAAATGTGCCTCTTTCTGATTGGTTATTATTGCAACATTGTTCAAAATAATTATTGAGGCACAATAGGATAGTAATTGTCTATATATCATATTTGTAGCATTTTACCTCACCAAATATGCTTTGTTGTTATTTCCAGATTTTTATATTAATCAAGCAACTTTAAAATTGTACAGAATATCATATAATACTGCTGAATCTGTGAATGGAAATTATGAAATTATCAAGATAACACGTTAATTGTGTAACTCATGATTTGGCCCAATAATTAATGTAAATTTCGACGTATTCGAGAGATGTAATACGAAACAGATACGGACATTGGCCGACAGACATTGACAAGGGCTGAAAGATTTTGCCACTAATTGGACATTATAAGTCCGTGTTTATGCGCATGTATTATATTGGCATTTGTGTATTTACAATCTTCTCACTAAATTCAATAGTTCCTCTAATTATCTTGGGGGAAAGCAAGCAACTATAGAGAATGAAAAATACAGATTCAAAGTAGATAAGAAGATAACGAAAATAGAATCAAAGAAATGGTAGTCAAAAATGTAAAACGATTCCTACCTGCCCCGGGTCTTCTGAGGCCTTGCTGCAGTGCCATGTTGTAGTTCCACGACAACTCGGGGCTCCATGCGGAGTAAGGGCTGATGCCGCTTGGTCGCAGAGAGGGGTTAAATCCAGCCTGGTCTGCCCTCACCGTGGGGGAACTAATGGGAGAGTTAGGCGAAGGAGCGAAGGCGAACCTCGGGGACACGGAGGGATGGGTATTAGGGGTACTGTAGGAAGGGTCAGGTTGCATCCACATAGCGGAACCTCCACTGGGATTAGAAGTTGGCTGTCCAGACGCATACTGCATAGGGAGTACAGCTCTAGTTGTGGGGACGTACACAGGACTGGAACCCGCGTGCATAAAACTATTGGCCCCTGCGGTCTCATGGTAGGTTGGGGCTGTAGCGGTTGGAAGGGACATTGCGTGCATACTGTTCTGAAACATGGTATCTGACTGATGCTGAGAGTTGTCTAGTTTGGAAGACTCACTATCTCCAGCGTTTCGCGTGGTTGAGTTTTCAGTGGCGCTGGGTCGGTCCAGGTGATTAAAAAATACTTCGACTTCTTCGTTTGGCAAGAGTGGGCTGCTCTCCTGGAAATTAAGCATACCCTGCTCCCGGCGAGCAGATGATTCGTCCGAACCGCTAGCGGGGGGATCGGTAGTCTCGTAAGAATGTTCCAAACAATCGACTGGCTCTTGTTTGATATCCGTATACCCTCTTGCACTAACCCAGGAACATTCGGAATATGCCATGAAAATTAGCCATGAAGAGAATTCCCAATTTCGTAGTTTCTACACACGGGTTACTTTCTCCAAATTTGGAAGTTACACACGCTGGTATATCTATAGTCCTGAGATACTGTGCGTAGGAGTGCGCGTGTATGAGGCAGGTGAAAATGGTTGACGTCTGCTGACCAAAAGGTTCTACAAGATAAAAATAAATTCGTGAGGACTGGGACATCAAAATCGTCTTGTTGTAAGACGTCTTTCTTGAAACCTCAAATCAGCTCATTGCCGTTTGATGTTTTTCGGTAAATCGAGTATATTAGCGGTTCTTTGGACTATTGATGTTTATTTTACAATTATAACAAAGACAACAATAAGAAGCCGTTGTTTACAATCACTTACAGAAATCAAACCGAAGAACAAATAACTTAGCCGGATTATGTGATCAGGCTGTCCCTAATTAAACAGATTATTGAAGTAATTTGTAGACGCAGGTGATGCTTTATTAATTAACATTTACTTATATCGAACGTTATAATATTAGAACTGAGGCATTGGCCTGTTTTACATAATTCATAGTTGGAAAAATCTTTAAAAAATTCTCTTCAAATATTTTACTGTAAGGATTGATTTTTAAAATGTGCTTGCTGGAAAATTAGGATTTTTTTAAAAAAAGAAAAATATTGCACAGAATGTGGTAGTACAAGTTTAATTAAAGTTAAAAAATAAAATAAACAATTAACCAAAACTTTGAAGTAAAAGTTTGTTTTACAAAAAATGTGTCCATAAAATTCCTTGAAGTCCTCAAATTAATAATAGTTGATAAAAGTTATTCACAAGTCAATGATAGTTTAATTAACTGATAGCTTAAGAGGAAACATCTCTCAGTGATTATGATATAACACTTGAAACGCTATTATTTTATCATTTTATCAAAATAATAACATTTAAAACCAATATGATAATAAGCCAGCACGATAAATACAATTCGTTTAGAACTAGGGAATCCTATCTTCATTTCGGAACTTTTATCTGTCAACTATCTGTATATCACATAAACGTACCCCAATTATCACAACTCACTAAAAAACCCGATAAAAGGAAACTTACATACCCTCAACGATTTCGGAAAAGTGCCTGTGTCCGGTTTGAATAATACACTTTAGACCATCAGAAGATGAAATGGTCAGTTGTGGATGAAATAGTCACAAAATATGGCTTTAGAAACAGAAAAAATTGCTTCGTTCTTATCACTATCGCTTCGTGCATTTACATTGAATTTAGTGTTTGCATTGGTATCAAGAAAAATCCCGAATGATAACAAAAAGGGGCGGGGTTTAGATTTACATCATGGCAAACTAGCCTATCAGGACCCTATTGCATTGGGGTTCATGTAAACAAGTTACAACGGACATCGAAAACTTATTAGGTGGTTCAAATTATGCACAAAAAATTCTTTAGTAAAATGTAAGAAAAACAAGACCTTAAGTAGGTTGAACATGTCTACCAAGATATGTGTAAAATTCCTCGGAGCTGCCCGTGTATTTTTTATCTGATAAAATCTTGGGGAGTAGAGATTACAATCTGAGAGAAGTTGCGGAGGAGACTTCGGCACACATCTGTATCTATCCTGTAAAAAATCCTGGTGTCATTCCAGCATGTTTTGGTCTAAAATCGTGTTTCAGGTCCTTGCAATATCTCATTAACCCTTACGCAAGAAACAATAAGTTCAAGGCACTGCTTTGAAAGTGTCAATCTTATCTAACTATTGGATAAAAACCTTTTCGTGGGAGAATTCAGGGTTTCATTTTTTATATGGCATTTTTTATTGTTTAATTAAACGGTTAAAAAAAATTCCAGATGCTATAGATTTTACACGTTCTAAATTCCCGACCCATTTTTTATATTTTTCTTTTTAAACCCTAGGTATATATTTTCTCACGAATTCTTACGCAAAATAACGCATTAATTCTAGAAAGCATATTACAAGCTTAGAAAATTGTATTAATGATACATCATAAACCTCTTTTTATTTTTTTCTTCATTTTAAGGAAAAATTATCAACTTATTGATCAGTAACTAATTCAAAGACTAATTTCAAAAGTGTTTGTAATACGTGAATGATATAAAGTGCAAACTTCTACAGAATTTTAACTTTTGCGTCAAGCTCTCTCGGAAGTGAAGAAGAATCAAGAAAAAAAAAATAGAAAATTTGTTGCTTTCGCATAAATCACAAATTTACAATTTTGACGAATTCAAAAGAAAATTATCACCATTATCTCACGAAAACAACGTGAATTTTGATAACGCGTACAAAGTGCTTTCTGTGTGTTCATTTTCAGTTGTAGTTTCATTTTTGATAGCATCTTGTAGTGTAGTTTTTACGAGAATAACAACCTTATTTCCTGGCAGAATTTAGATCGTTGACCAGGTCGGGGATTTATTATGACTGTCAAAATTTAAATTGAAATTTACAATCATATATGGCATATACTGACCACGCTTGAGAATATATCGTAAAACAATAAATCAGTAAGCAATCTACCGGGGACTTTAGGGTTGTCAAGCACCCCACGGCACCAACTCGGACAATAGCATATATTCAAAGTCTCAAATAAATCTCGGGACCCGTGTCAACAGCATTCAAGAAACCCGGACCCTAAGCAAACTGGGGGATAATGAATTTCGTGTTTATATTTCTACCTATGCACTGTAGACGTTTTAGCGTTACCTGGAGATGGAACATGAAACTGATAATACGTTGCTAGGGAAAACACAAAAGATCAACGCTATTAGCGAATCCGCCATTTTATGATCGGCGAATATTTATCTGGCAATAGAATTACGGTTTGCTAATTAATAAACATAATAGGTTTATGCGTCAGCATTATTGGCTATATACTTCCGCTGCTATTCTAAGCCACGGTCGTAAATGCAATAAAAATTGCATAATAATAACATATTAGAATGTGACACATTCCTGTGCCCAAGTTTGATTCTAAGACTCAATTCCGAAGACTAAATTGAACTTTTGGGTGGACTTTAATGCAATAAAATCTTCATTGAATAATAATTATTTAAAAACAGAAAATTTCTAACATCATTCAGAATGCAGATATAAATAATTAAAGTGTAAGATTTTTTTTTATTTTCATCTGAAGTAAAAATATTTTTATTGTTTGACCGTGGTTTGGTCGCCGCACGTGCACACTAAGTAATACATTGAAGGATACGCCTGCTAATGAAGACTGCTAGAAATTTCACACCATCCGAGATTAAAAGACCGACCCTCCCAATGGGGTACCGAATTACCGATAGAAGCCGATTACTTTTCTACATAAAAGTGATATATAACCCCAAGTTTATGTTCATGTAATTTGCAGGAATTTTTGCCAATTTCCAAACACTTCTTATGAGGTAATAGTGACTTTGGAGTGATTGTAGATTGTATTCACAGAATGCATATCCATATCATCAAGGTTTATCAACAAAAATGCATTATCTTCACAGTTTACATGGATTTCAATTCTCTTATTTGTTGATAAGCTAATAGAAACTGATAGGCAACTTTCATGCTTGACGATGTTATAAACATTACATTATAAAAGTGAAATAATGGTAAGTAAACGGTTTAAAACATGAGGTTTTTTTAAAAATAATTATTTGATACGATTTTTTCTACTTCTAAATCTGTATTTTCCTTTTGTTATTCATGCTAAAAGTTAATACTAGAAACATTTAACGTATTGATTAACACCCAATTAAAAAAATTACCTCAAATGTTGTCTGTAGCTAAGCAAGATATTGGAGAATGAAAATTTAACTTTAGAATTGATTTTAATGATGTTTGAACATTTGAAGTTTCCCTTAACTTCCTGTAGTTATGTACAGAGAAGGGAGTAAGAGGGCTCCAGTAATCACACCACCATATTTCACAAAGAACTCAACCGGAGAACATGGAATGTGCTCCTTATTTCTTTTTTATTGTTCTATAATTTTTTTTATTCGTGTTTAATTGGTAGAAATATGATATGGATTAAGAGTTAAGTCCCTTTTACAGAAGGGGTCTCTATTGTTACTTGGATGACGCGGAAGAATTTGTCAGGTGAAGAGGAAACTGAGATAAATAGTTCCCGTACCATCAAGTACTCTTAATCCTATCAACTTTATTGGAAGGGGGAAAAACCAGGAAACTTCCTGGGTTTTCTACACAGATGAACCCTCGGGTATCTAAATTTATAAATTGCTGAGGTAATTGAATTCATGTATATGACTTCTTGACGAGGGAATACCTTAAAGGACTTATTATATGCTCTTAAAAATCGAAATTTTATGAAAAATATCATTTACAACATTGTTTATTTTAAGTATATTTTAATTATTGAGAGATGAAATTCAAATACGGCGATATGCATATATGTACAGCATTTATATGAAAGTTATTTAATTTCATTCCTGAAACTATCTTGTTTAAAGCTTTTAGATCAAACAGCTTTGTCTGATATTGAATACAAAATAAAATGTAATGTAATATTAAAAAAAAAAAACAATGTAATAATTAATGTACACACACGTAAATAAAAGGACAAAGTAAGCACATTTTGTTCGATAAAAATTGAATTGCCATTTCGAATCATGCAGAAATCATTTGAATTTTTTCTATGTTTTTCAGATAAAGTTGTTCAAAGTAATGAATATCAGTAAAAATCAACGGAAATGTTCTAAATAAAACGTAGCAAACGACTTCATCAAAATGTCAAAATTGTATAACAAAGTTGCTATCATACACTAACTACCAATACAAAACTAACTAAGCCAAAAAATAAGTGTCAGAAAATCACCACAGTAAAGCCTGACGTACTTTTTTATTTCGTGTAAATGATAGGAGAATATATATAAAAAAGGTTTTGAAGGGGTATGATTGAGCCTGAGAAATATTCGACATAGCAGTGATGCCTGCCTTCTCAGCTGAAAAGTTAATTAGAGGGACAGGTGCTTTAGAGGGCATCAGACGTGAGAATACGAGGTACTCACCAAAAAAAAAAATCATAGGGTGTAAGTTATCAATGCGATAAATAAATAGACAAATGAATAAATAATTAATAAATAAATAAAGAAATATATAAAGAAAGACACAGAGAAAAAAAAAGAAATAATATAGTTAAATAAGTCCTTTTCCGTAACAAAACCCTTTAGAACTTTAAAAAAAAATGATTAATGCATTCAAACAAACAGAAAGCATTTATGAACCATCCAACCTTGTTCGTCTTTTGCGCAAACACAATGCTCCAAGATATGTACGACTCATATGTACATATATTTCATCTCTGGGACAGTTCTATTACAATATGAAGCTTCATTTGACTTTTGTAAAGCATATTGTCCTTTACAAAAATTCTGATATTTTCTATGCAAATTTGTACAATTCAAATTTTGTATAAGAAACATCAAACTTTTTGTAAAGGACAATATACATGTACATACACTGCAATCTGACTTACATTCGCAATCTATTGTACAAAGTACATCAAGCATCTTCGAAACTTATCTGCTTAAATGATTACTTACAAAATAGTTGTATACTCTACATCTAGATCTCAAAAGCCTACAATTAAGTAGGAATTATTATAGATATTACCTTATTTTTCTAGAAAAAGCTGTTTCCTCAATCAGTTTTGACTAAGTGTGCAAGAACAAGTGTAGAGGAGACAGAGGGAAAAACAACAGAGGCTGTGAATTTATGGACTGTAAATTTTCCTGGTGGTCAGATGAATAATTATTGTCCACATGTCAGTTTGTGTCAATAAGGCGACATTTTACTTTTCTTGGTCTATACGTTTTTCATTCATTTCTTTATCAGTTTCACATTGTTCGTCCGTAAGATAAGTAGGCAAAAACAAACAGACCCTGATATGATTACGTCACGCCGCTGGCCCCGTATCAAGTAACGGACTACAATTCGGTGGGCACCTGCTTCAACTTTCTATTTTCTGTGTAGATACAACTGATATGTATGTAGATAAAACTCATCCTGTTACCCAACGTTTACATATTGTACAACTTGTTGAAAAATGACAGAATTGATGGAGATTTGTATAAACATTTTACAATTTTTGCATGTATACATATTCAGCGATAAAACCTAACAAGTAGTGTTATGTTATGTTTGATGCATATGTCATGTTGTAAATTTTGAATTTACCGGCAAATTCAAAATTTACAACATGACACATATATTGTTATTTGTTAAGGAAGCACCCAAAATGATTGTAGGAAAAACTTGTCATTGCGAGAAACC